TGTTCTACCCGTTCACGGTTTTTGTTCCACCTGTCACGGTTTTTGTTCCACTGGTCACGGTTTTCTATCTAGTGACACCAGGTCATTCACTATCACTCGCTTTCTGTCATCATTATCATCATCATCATCGTCATCATTATCAAAACTTATAATATTTACAATAATCACTTCACTATCACATCTAAATATTAATTAAAAGACAAAAATATTTATAATTCTAAAAAATATATTACAAGTTATTATTCTTAAAGGCTCGTGTGGTAATTTTTTTAAATGTATGTGTGTGTGTGTGTGTGTGTGTGTGTGTGTGTGTGTGTGTGTGTGTGTGTGTGTGTGTGTGTGGTGAGCGCTCGAGAAGACAACCTCACTCTACTGCTGTGGCGGCCACACTGAACAGAATCTTACCACGGCACCACCACCACCACCACCACAACAACTACTATTATTACTACAACTATTAGCACACCACCACCACAACAACTACCATTACTACTACTTCTACTGCTACTACTACTACTACTTTTTTTTTGAACGTGGCCTCCAGCCTCCCCCAATAGCCACACCTTCGCCACCATTTTATTACCTTAATATTAAGTATCCTAATACACGAGTAGCTATCCTAGCTGTGTTGAATTAGTTGAGCCGCAGGTCTATGCGGCATTCAGTGACAGTAGCCTCATAGTCAATATCTGCAGCAGTTGTCGGAGTTGGGGCAGAAGCTCTCGTTCCCCTGAGGCAGAGCACTACTACTACTACTACTAATAGCACCACCTCTACAACTGCTACTACTACTACTACGACTACTACTAGCACCATCGCTGCTGTTACTACAACTATTACTACTATTACCACACCAGCGTCACGCGTACTACCACCACCACCACCATCTAACACGTATACCTATTTTATTTAAGGGAATAATTTAACATAAGTACCTTTGGGAATCCTTAATATAAGACACAACTATTGTCTCCCCCTCCTCTTTCTCTTTTCCCCGTCCCTCTCTCTCCCCTACTTCGTCTCTCTCTCCTCCCTCTCTCTTTCTCCCCCTCCACCCTCTCTCTATCTCTTTCTTTCCTGACTTTTCGCCACCTGCAGCAATGTGTGTGTGTGTGTGTGTGTGTGTGTGTTCTCGTTTGTACAACTAATGTGATCGATGGCCCGTAGTACTCGCTAAAGTGTGGTGTACCCAAACTCCAGCTTTGTTGTTGATGAGGGATCTGGCTCTTACATAACCCTGGAGTGTCGTTAATATAACCCTTATTTATGAGACAATAAACGAAAGAGAGGGGGGGGGGGTAGGTCACTAGGTTAGGTTAGGTCCAGTTCTATCCATAATATAATAAAGTTGGACAATACAATACCTTTCACTAATCCATGTTACCCCTTGGATAAAACGATCATTTATAACGTATTACAATCATTTAGCTGAAAATTCCATCTCAGTATTAAAAACTTCAAAATTTTCAACAATTGTAATTACGTAAATGGTCTCTATCCTGCTTCTTGTTTGATTGGGTGAGGAACCTTTGTGTTTTAATTTCACTATCACTATATCAACAGGCTTTCCTCAAATTCTTATACAGAGTAATAGCTATGTACTAACCTTACTCATTCATATCTCCATAATGGCCTAGACAGTGTGATATTTTGAGACCGATGGACACTTTGTTAATATTTGTGCTATTTACTTCATCATAACTCGAGTCATTTTATCTACCCTTGTGGTCTAGGAGCTGTTAGGTCTTGTCTGGTGTAACTTTTGAGATAAATTCACCATGTTCTCTCTCTCAAAGCCTCTTTTGTTTTGATATTCACTTCGTAATTCCAATCTAGCTTTGACATTATCTTAAGCTCGCTTGTACAGTTTTCTCTCAAGTTTAACCTTAATTTTTGTATCTAAAGGTTTTATATCAAGTCTGTTTGTACCTAAGTCACTACCATAGTTGGCAGTGATGTATCTTTGCTCTTTTATAATTTCGTCTTGTTTTCACCATTTGATTTTACTCTAACAGAATCATTTATACTGCCCCCAGAAACTTCCAGTCACACTCGTCAATTCACCTCTCATTGTCAATCACTGTGGAATTTATTTTGAACTGTTAATATTTTCTTTAATACAAAAATTTTCTCTTATTTCCATACCTCATCACATGGCCAAATTTTTCTATTCAGGTACAGTATTTGTCTCAGGATTTTTACATCACACTCTTAGCTCCTATAAGGTCTCTTAGCACACAAACAGTCGATTCTAGTGCTTTTATCTATGCATAATATAGTTGCCTCAGGGAGTAATGTAGTTTATCATGTGGGTTTGATATGTACCTGTTTGCATTAAACTTTACTAACGCCACTGGGGTTAGGTGAGAAATGTAGTCATGTTATTCTGCATTTATCGACGTATGTAACACTTGTTCTAAAAACTATCTTTAGGGAGAGATCTGAAGAATTTCAAAATGAACACCTGTTGTCTTGGCAGGGCTGTCAAAATCCTTAGTACATTGTGTTATAGTCTCACAGAAAATCATATAGTTTTCGGAGTGCGTTACACATCATAACTCTTAACACCCCTCCAATATTGGGATGCCACTTTTGACATTTTATCTCACCAACGCCAGACGATTTTATTCAGCAGAGAGGGGAACCAATACATACTGTATGTAAGAACCAAAAAAATTATAATGTTTATATTTGGCATATTTATTCCCCTGAACAACCATTAGAGGTCCATTAACAACCATTAGTTACCATAATTTATACATCAGAAAGCAAAGGGTACAATTTACACCCCACTTTAGTACAGACTATATTACGTACTTAGATATATTACTGGGAATGTTACATAATTGTCTTAAGCTATTTTCAACCAATTTTTGTCATGAGTAAATATTTGTATAATTATAGTTATTCTAATACTGTACAGTAAATTTACTTTTTTTAATGCATTTGATTTATAAATTTGCCATACATGTTTTGGTGTATATCTCGACAGTACTGTATTAGCGTTACTCCCCTTCCATTTTTGTCTGGGGTGAGTCAAGGGGTATAGGGTATATAAACTTCAAAGTAAAGGAAGAGATTACAGAGAAGTCATAGAAAATAATAGGAAATTCCCAAGACAATTTGTACATTAGACACACTTGTTCATATTTTCGACTAACACTTAACAGAATACAAACTGAATCCTTATCCTTCACATTGATTCCTATCATAAAATTCTCACCAAAATATTAAACAAAACCCCTTTTTTTTTTTTTTACAATATACATACAATGGTGGATTCATACACATCCTCTTGAAAACATTTCAAAACAAGATCATATAAAAGAATTAAAAAACACAAACATATATGACCCAAGAGTAATTTATTCGTCAATACAAAAACTACAATTTTATACACATATTTTAAGTTTGTTTAAACTATATTGCAAGAAATAAAATACACATTTTTTTCACTTTTAAACATATAACTTCAAAAAACAAAAGAACATCAACCCCAACAAAGGCAGGTCCAACCCTGTTCCACTGACATCACTCCTTTGGTATTTACTACTACTATAAGCTCTTTAGCCACCTAGACACACACACTCTTAACTGAACAATGGGTTGATTAATAATGGTGAACCTATTCCGAATACCATTAGTTTGGTAGAGACTATTCCCAGTTAGGACAGGTTAGGTTTGGATAGGATAGGATAGGTTTCGAGATGTACGGATGTATCAATATCGGTGGTGTCAGCCTATTTTTGGAGTACTGGTATCGAAGGAATTTCAGCCGGTTTACCGATACTTTGTTATAATTATACTGTATATATTCCTGGTAAAAACCTGTCACACACAATGGACTGAGTTAAGTGAGTTTCCAGACTATGGGTTAAGAGGAACCTTCTTTAGGTCAAACCCACTCCTAAAATAAAACAATAATATCACGGGATTGTTGGAATATAGTCCCAGCATCTAAGGGTTTTGTTTTATGCTTTTGAAACTGGTAGTGTTAAATGTGCTTTACAAATATTTAAATAAATTAAATTACTGAATACAGTACAGGTATATTTGTTATATACTGTACTGTACTGTACTGTACTTATATTGCATCAAATTAAATGTTATATTGTTATAGTTTGTGTATCATATAAAATAGTGTAACGGTATTCGGTATTAATCAATGTTATTAGAAATGTGCATTTTGGTAGTATCAGCATCGGCCATTTCTAAGTACAGTATCGGTATAGGCCAAAATATTGGTATCCAGTACATCACTAGTTAGGTTAGGTCAGGTTTGGTTTAGGTTAGGTCATATTTAGTTTAGGTTGGGTTAGTGTAGGTTAGGTTAAGTTAGTCTCGGTATAATCCCAGGAGGAGGGGAGGGGGGCCTCAACGGATTTCTGTGTTTCTGCTTCAGCTCAGTTCTTCTCTGACTGCACGATAACGTGTCATCTCATTGGGGAACACGTGAGACAGTTCAACCAGGAGCATCGCCTTAAACCTCTTGTATGAGTCGATCCTTCCATTAACCTGTGACGAAGAAAGACCATCAGTAAAGTCAAATCATATGCCAATTATTGTCTTCAAAGTCAAATACTGACGATGAATCACTTTAACATCCACTGGGAGAATATTAAGTAATGACAATTTTATGCTAATCATTGTTGTACTTTAGAATGTCAAATATAAATTACAGAAACATTAATAATAATTTGAAATGTCAATAAAAAATGTAAACTTGATATTCATTTTACAACACCTGTGGGACACTGCCGTCTTACCTGTTCATTTTTGGTAAGGGCTTTCTCCATGCAGTCCTTAGTGTAAAGCTGAGGGTTCCTTCCTCCGTCGATGTATCTATAAACAAAAACACACCATGATATTAAATGAATGTAGGACGTTTGGGCCAGGGTGGTTCGGACCTATTCTAACCTTCAAGTAATTATTGTCTTACCTAATGAAACACAATTTAGATCCAAAACATATTTTATATCTTTGGAACAGAGCAACTTAGAAAATAAACCTGTCATGCATCTGAAGTCTTTATCGGCTATCCTCAGTCATATTACCTTACTCTTTACTATTGTTGTATACTTGCACTGTCTAGGTACATCAAAAATTGTATAGCTGCTGCACTGACTATGCTAAATGTATGTACAGTCGGGGTGAAAAGTCTTGAACACTTAGCAATATCTGGCATCTACTTCTGAGTTATTCATATATAATTGGGATATACCAATACAGTGGGGTATGCTATAACGAACGGTTTACATAACGAATATTCCTATAACGAACGGTTTTCCCTATGAAATTGAAAATGCTATAACGAACGAAACTCCTACAACGAACAGTATTTTTTATTATTTTTTGTACTAATTTATTATTTTTTATTACAAGTATTAATGATATTCTTTATTTCAGGAGTTTAAATGCACATTTATGCACCTTTTTACAATTTTTACAATTTTATATTATATTTTTCATTGTTAAGTGGTTGTATTTGGGGGCCTAGAACGGATTACCCCTATAACGAACGAATGCTATAATGAACGAGGTTCTAGAACCAATTAGATTCGTTATAGCATATAACTATTTGTCATCATATATTAACCTGAACCACAATATGGGATAAAACTCTCCTTAATACCCTAAAATCTCCATGTACTTACATGCCAAATACTGTCAAGTGTTCAAGACTTTTGACCACGACTGTACCTGCGTTGTCTATATCATACATACGGTAAACTATATACTGCTCTGTCTATATACATGTCAGAACTATATTTAACGGACTATACGGAGAGGAAGGTCTGTTATACCGAGGGTCCGTTAGATGTGAGACCTCCACCTAACGGATTATGTGGAGAGATGAGTCCGATATATGGAGGTTTCACTGTGTTTATTATTATTATTACTACTATTATTATTATTATTATCAACAGTCATTAGTACACTCTTAAGCTGACACACGTGACTTACTCAAACACCTCCAGAGGCACGTGTACGTCCTGGACAGCGGAGCGCAGTTTGTCTATATCTTGCATGTTTGTTATCATGTTCTGTCTGCAAAAAATATATATAATAAGTGAAGGTAACTACAGGTACAGTATACATACAACCAAAGATAATTGATCAAGTAGATATAAAAATAGGATCGGTAAATATGTAAAATTACTGCAGACTTAATGATTAATTACGGCAGATTTAATGATTTAACCTTAATTTTTTTTCAATAAGAAGTTTGTTTTAATGCAATTTAAATTCACCGAATCATAAAAACGAAATAAATTACTAAAATTACTGTGTATTGTATTTAAGTAATAGCTAATAGGACAGATGTAAATACTGTATATAATTTGGTCTCATTCCTGCTTAATATTAAACAATAATCATCAATGGCTTCTGTCTCCTTGCCAATGTCTCCTACTTATAATTTCTCTCTTTTTTGTTCTTTTTTTCCCTTTACTAGGTTTGGATTTTATGCAATGGTAAAATATTTGTTTTGGTCAAATCCAAACTAACCTAACCGAACCGATTCCCCGTATGACCGACACTAAAAATAATACCTACTCAATAAAAATAAATTACATACTGTACTGAACCCGAGGGCCACCATCCTAAAGTTACTAACATTCCCCACACACGTTCACCATTATGGATTGTGTCCTGTCTGTCTATCCAACTGAGTGAGAGATGTACAGAAAGTGGCTGCAGTAATTACATTGGTGAGGCGCTACACACTTCAGCTGGGTTAGGTTAGATTAGGCTAGGCTAAGTTAACTATATTGTATGCTATATGGGGATAAAATTAAGCAATGTAATGTAATCTAGTTAACGTAGGAGAGTTAGGTTAGATAGTTATGTATGCTGAATTAGGTAGACTGGGTTAGGTAGGGTGGTTTAGGTTAGGTTGGGTAGGGTTAGGTAGTTTAAATTAGGTTAGGTTAGGCTATTTCACCTCATCACAATAAATCGTATAAAATTAAAGTATTCGATAATTTTTTTTCAAGTGTTCCTGTGGTTGAAACAAAATGCCCATAAGTAAAGAAAAGAGTACAAAAAATCTGAAAAAATATTACGAAAACCATAGACAAGAAAATATTTATCTTCTACATAAAAATTTCCTCAAATGTAATAAAGTCTTCCAATATTACAAAATGAACCACTTAAAACTTTATTTGACTATTCTCTTAATAAACTTATAATCTTAAAATATTTCCAATTCCACAACTAATAACCCCAAAACAGTAGTCCAAATAGTTAGTATTTAGAAGCTGCCAAAAACTATTTATATATCGAGTCTCATATAGGGCGGAAGAGAAAAAAATGAAAATAATTTATTCTATAGCGTTTCCCTTCCAAATTAATACTAAATTATTAGCTCTATTAGTCAGGAAAACTTAGGTTTTATAAATAATACACACAAATTCTGATTAAATAATAAAACAAACTCCTTTCTTTTTACTTACAACTTCTGGTTAAGTACTTGTTGTCCCTGAGGTTGAAAATCACTAACTAAAATACCAATCTGACGGACATTTTCAATAAAAGTCTCGAGTTGGTTTTCCAGTTGTTCGAGAGACGAGGACATGATGGGTTTTTTTTTCTTCTCTTGTATATTTATTTACCCTGGTTAACACTCTTCTTATTGGTAGTTTTTGCTGAGTTTAATATCCAGGAAGTATGGTAATTATCATGTTTTTTATTATAAGAGCTCTCAATACTACACTCGTCCGTAGCTTTGTTGTGGGACAGATTTTCCAGCAGTATTGCCAGGTCGGGGTGTGATGAGGATTATTTTCCTTCCTAACCTAACCTGACCAAGGCCACCTAGAAGAGGTGGCCTTGGTCAGGTTAAATTTAGAAGAGGTGGCCTAGAAGAGGTGGCCTTGACCTGACCCACATCGGGGCCCGGGGGGATAAAAAAAAAAGATCCAAAATTAAATTCAAAAATGCAATTTTTTTATGCTACTATAGCGTGCGGCCTACAAGATATTTAGGTTAAGTTAGCATAGGTTTGGTAAGGTTAGGTTAGGTTACACAAAACATTTTTGTAGACCAGACGCTATGGTAGCACCAAAAATTTAACTAATGAAGTGAGGAACGATATACTGTACGTATACTGTATGTTAAAAAGTAAGCGAAACAATTGAAACCCTGCAATTGTGTGTAAATGAGGCAGAAAGTTAGATCAACAGCCTGGATCTTGGTACCAGGGTCTACCATTAGACAAGAAATCATGCCTCCAATATCTTCCCAGACGGTAGTACCTCCCTGTCTGATAGTTGCCGACTCCCTGATTTTGATTTGGTTGTGATAAATTCATTACATTAAGCTATTTCTGTTCATTATTTTCTAGACTATTTCATTATCAAATAATTATACGATTATTATATCTTCAGTACGCTTAGATTAATAGATGACTAACAATTCATTGCAATATATCAGTTAATTGCACTATGCATTATTATTATTATTATTATTATTATTATTATTATTATTAGTAGTAGTAGTAGTAGTAGTAGTAGTTGTAGTAGTAGTAGTAGTAGTAGTATTTTTATTATTGCAAGTTTTATTGAGAAGCTTTAAGGTTCTAGCTCGGTGTTGGCAAGACGGTGACAGTTAATAGCAACAAGATTTCAAGTGTCACATTGCATTTAAGAAGTTTCGAGTTCATAAGAAGTCTTTTTACCTCACAATTTTGAAATAACACAGACATGGAGATTGAAATGTTAGACTGGATATTGGAGCACGCCATGAAACATGGCTATGATGATTTATTCTTCAGTAAGTAACGGAATACCGTTAGTTTTAAAATAAGGTTACCTTCCTCAAACGAACCCAAACTCACAAGCCAGTGTCGATGGAAATCCTTCGTAAACAGTGTGAAATAACTTTTTTTAGTGTAGTTAGTCATGATGAGTACATTGGTAGTAATGTCAGTTTGAGGGAAGGTATAATTATTACGTTACAGCTCTTCCTACTGTGCCTGACCCTATTACTCTACCAAGTGGTTTAGAAACTTTACAGCCGACAAGTTATTTGTTTTAATGTTTTTATTCTTACTATATTTTCATCACTGAGTTCTGATATAATAATCATTTTTATGGAAATTGCTTCATTTGGTAAATATTTAGACAGATAGGTGTGGGTAAATATTAAGTAGTTGCCACCACCTAACTGACTTGAAAATGGGTTTTTATGGTGTAAATCATCATGTTAAATACAAATATGACCTTTATTGCCTTCGGAAATGAGCAGTAGTTGAGATATGGAAGGTCAAACAATACAAAAAACTCATAAAACTAAAAAAAACTAACCTACCCTAACCTTAGATATTTAACCAGAAAAATAGATATACAGTATTGACATGGTTGAGTCAATTGAGAGTGGCAATATATCAGTAAGGCACCCCAATGGACTGTGATTTTGTCCTTCACTCAGTGTATGTTTATGAGCCACTTGGACTGGGCGGCTTCTCTCACTTCCACAAAAAAAAAAAAAACGTAAAATTACTCCATATCATAATAATTTTTTTCTGATTAATATGCCGGGGATCCAGAAGGTGGAGCCCCACGGCTAGGAGGTTAGGTAGGTTTCTTTGGTTGGGTTGGTGCAGTGTTCTAACAACGCTTCGGCCGCTTGTTTTTCCTATTAACTAAGGTTAGGTCTGGTTTAATTTTAAAATAACCACTTTTTAACACATTTGCCTAGACTATGACAGTGTGCCCTGCAAAACACACTGAAAATGCAACATCAAGACAGATACTGAGGGTTATGATGTTAGTCTGTTCTCTGTGAACTTTATTGTCCAGCATTACTAGGAAACCTGTAATGTTTGGTAGTGAGGGTCACACATCTGTCCCAGGTCAAGTGGTGAGACAGATGCACATTACTGCTGTAGCCATTACTTTTAGGTCCCAATCTTAGTACATGTACAGTAGTGTATACTGTACTGTACAGTATAGTACTATATTTTTATTTGGCTGAGGACTCATTTGATGTTTTCATTAAATTACTGTATTCATATTGCCTTGTTTATGCTCTCCATATTGGTACTGATACAGAAGTGTACTGGTACAGTATAGTACTTGTGTATGCCAGCTGCACCAGCCCTAATTGTATTTTTCTCAGTATGGTACAAATCATCAAGTAAATGTGTAGTGGTTCACTGAATCGACACAGAAAATATAATTTAATATGCAACTGGTCAACCTAAACCAACTGAATCTATCCAAACCCAACCCAACCTAACCTAACCTAACCTAACCTAACCTAACCTAACCTGTCCTGTCCTGTCCTGTCCTGTCCTGTCCTGTCCTGTCCTAACCCAACCCAAGTGAATCTAACCAAATCCTTCCTGAATAGTAAACTAGATTATTTATTGTCTTTCAGAAATTACATCAGAATTTACTGAGAATGAGATCAGGATTAACTTCCCGAGATTCTGTAAACAGAAGTTATTCCACACTTTTGAGAGTCACGAGCTAGTGTACCCAGATTATCTCGTGTTACTTGAAGATATGATGACATCATTAAAATCTGAGACTATGTGTGAGTTTGAAGAAATTCAGTGCGTGCTCATTGCAATTTTTCTACTGAACAATTTAAAGGTGAGTTGTAAGTAATTAGCCATAACCCAACCTAACCAAAAGGTAACCTAACCTAACCCAGAATTTTTTTGTCACTTTTATTTATTTTTTCCATAATAAAGAAAGTATACTCTCTCTCTCTCACTCTTTATAACTCAGGGAATGTCTGTACAGTGTATGTGTGCATAGATATTACTGTATGTACAGGTACTACTCGACTTACGACCACCCGGGCATACGACTGCTGCAGTCATATAAAATATTTTTTAAATTACAGCTGCTCCCCGACTTACGATGGGGTTAGGGACCGACATCCAGGTCATAAGTCGAAATGGTCGTAAGTCGGAAATGCTTCAATAACACATAGAAAATCGAAAACGGGGGTCTTTTTTTCTTCTCAGCACCACAAAACACTCACTTTTAAGCTTGCCAGCCATTTTAAAGTGAATTACAGATGAAAATTTTGTCTGTGTACTGACTTTGGGACTCAAAAATACGTAATTTGACCAAATTTTGGTACGGCTGAGGCAGGTCGTAAGTGCGGGTGGACGCAAGTCGAGTAGGTCGCAAGTCGGGGAGTTGCTGTATGTATTTTCGAGTCCTGACGTTAGTGATCACGCTGTGTGCTGACAAAATTTTCGTTTGTAATTCCCTTTAAAATGGCTGGCAAAAGTAAAAGTGAGAGTTCTCGTGGTGCTGAGAAGAAAAAGAGAAACCCATTTCAGATTTTCTATGTATTTTACATTTTCGACTTATGACCTGGTCGTTTTTGTGTGTGTGTGTGTGTGTGTGTGTGTGTGTGTGTGTGTGTAAAGAAAGATAATACTGTACCAGTGCTTTACATCTTAACATCGTACTGTACTTTTTCTAGGTTGTGGATGATGGCGAAGAGAGAATGAAGATCGTGTTGGTGGACTGGGAGGCGGTAAAAGAAAACCTCACCTATCAGGTAAGTAAGATAACATTTTGATATATTTTTCTATTCTTTATTTATTTATCTATTTTTTTACTGTGGGATTCCAGGTTATGTCCGTAAACTTCTCGAATCTGGCGGCGTAGTCCTCTATCCTTGGTCAAATTGCCAGACTTTATATCTGCACTGTCTGGGAACATGGCAAACTACTGCTATATACTGTACTGTACCTCCACTGTCCATGTGCACTGTATTCCTGTGTTTATATACATCCTGAACTGTTTACTTGTGTTGGCTATATACATCCTGAACTGTATACTTGTGTTGGCTATATACATGCTGAACTGTATTACTGTGTTTATATACATCCTGAACTGTACTGTGTCTGCATAGTCTATATTGTATACATGCTGAACTGTATACCTGTATAGTCTATACTGTATACATGAACTGTATACTATACATGCCAAACCAATTGTAAATTTGTATGGTGATTTTACTAAATATGTACAGTAGTATCATCAATATTATTATTATTATTAGCACGACCTGAAAAATATCTTGCTCCCTCAAATTGTTGAAGATCAAACAAACAAGAATGAAAAAGGAAATATTAGTGAGGGTTTAAACAAGACAGTGTGACTGCCAAGGCTCTTCTTCAATTTGGTATCAGTTCACGATGAGATCCAGAGTGACCGTGATGGAGGTCTTGGTTGAATCGTTGTGTCGAGTTCAATATTTCCGTTTTCTGAATTAGTCAACGGCATATAGCAGAGGGGACCTTGTGTAGTACTATAAGCCCATTGACACTTATTTTGTACACTTGTGGGAGGCATATGTTGTTTTGCTGGGTTTGGTAGATCACGTCTTTAAGAATACTGTATTGTCACTCGAAAAGCTATCTTTACTTAGGAGGGGGAGGGGAAGAGTCGCTGAATGTCAGAATGAACATTGCGACTCCTGTTGTCTTGGTAGGGTTGTCAAAATACTTCACCCCTTGAGTCATATTTTCTCAACACAATTTTAGAAAGATAGAGAGAGAAATAAATAGATAGGGAGGGAGAGAAAAATTGAGAGACAGACAGATAGATAGATAGAGAGGGGAGGAGAGATAAATAGACAGAAAGAGAGAGATAGAGAAAGATATATATAGGTAGAAAGATAAAGAGAGAGAGACAGGTAGATAGATTGATAGAGAGACAAACATGCACACACACATAATAGTTTACATTCCATCAATTTAGTAACCTCTTCAGGATAACTTTTAAGGGCCAATTAAATGATAACTTCCTCATTGACAACTTCTCCACAGGATGATAACTTCAAGGATTATTACACAAAGAACGTACGAGATATCCACGCGGCTATAGATGCGAGTAGCCAGGAAGACGTTGATCGCCACATGGACAGACTACTAAGAGAGCAACTGCGTAACCTTATGGTCGCTTTGAAAACACCCACAGTATCTTCATATTTAGAAAAGGTGTGGATAGTCCTCGATATGTACTGTACTTGTGTGTATATGTGAGATGAAGGAAGTGTATGTGATAGATACTCAGGGCAACAAGACTTAAGACCACTACAGTACTTATATGACAGCTCATTCACTGCCAACCTTCAAACCTCGGGCCACCTGCAGGCTGTCTTCTCCTTCTCTGTTCTACTCCCGTTTCTTCCTTTTATTATTGTTTTGCTCAGACAAAATCACTTGGTTTTAGTCCATCTAGCTCACATAATCGACCCATGTAGGTGAATAATCTTCGCCGTCAGTGTTTTGCAGTAATTTTCCATGCCTGCGTAGATTAGCCGCGATTACTTGATGGCAGCTCTCCATGCTAGGTATATAAGTCTTGTAGTTTCTCTTGTTAGGTTCTCAACTCTAATGTCATTTCTTACATCCTCTTCTCATGTCATTCTTGGCCTACTCTTGGCTGTCCTCTCCTCCACATTTAGACTCATGCACCTCTTGACCCAATTGGTGTCGTCCATTCTCTCCATGTGCCTAAACCATCGTCAGCCTACCTGTACTCAGAACTTTGGCTATACTGTACTCTCAATACCCTCAATACCCATCTGCCCTCTTAGCTCAAAACTGGGGACCCACTTTATAGTATTTTTCACAAAATGTTCCAAAATTTTACCTGGCCCTGCCCATGTTTCACACCAGGAGCCCCTTGCTTGCTGAGAATATGAACAATCTAATAAATGGGAAGAAAATATCATTGAAATTTATTTTATTTTTAATTTATTTTTCAGATAAATGGGGGTGAAGTAGTAGTAGAAATTGCCATACAGAACACCCCTGAATATAACATGCTCTTACATGCCTTTGAAGAACAGTTAAGTGAAGCTTCATTAAGTAAACTGACACAAAGGCTGTTAAATATGAGGAAATCTCGAGTAGAAAAACAAGCAGGAAACCTCAAGGAACCTCAAACTTCGAAAAATACAGGAACAGGAGCAAAGGAAAATATATCCAGGAATAAAGAACTGTGTGTGTCAAAGGGATCACCTTCAGATTCTTGTGTAAGGTATACAATTATGACTCTGTGCTCCGAGAAAGTTACCTTAGCTATACCAGCTGATGTCAAGCGTTATTCAATTTTCAAGGAATTGAACCTTGAGAATTCTAACTGTACACCAGATCCCTGGTCTAAAAATGAAATTAATGAATTAAAAGATGTATTTAATAAACTGCAAAATTACGATATGAAACTAAAAAAGTTTCTTGACCAAAACCGGCTTAAGACAAGGGAAGGAAGAGATGGTCTCTCTCCTGAGATATATTTGAATTCTGGTAGTGTACCGTCAGAAACTCTTGAAACTGATGATGAAACTATAATTTATAGAGAAACTTCACATATGGAAACCGATGGTGATTGTGAAACTTCATGTGATAAAAACACACCCGTTGATGTTGAAACTTCATGTGATAAAGACACACCCGTTAATGTTGAAACTTCACCTGATAAAGACCCACCTGTTAATGTTGAAACTTCACCTGATAAAGACACACCCGTTGATGTTGAAGCTTCACCTGATAAAGACCCACCCGTTGATGTTGAAGCTTCACCTGATAAAGACCCACCTGTTAATGTTGAAACTTCACCTGATAAAGACACACCCGTTGATGTTGAAGCTTCACCTGATAAAGACCCACCCGTTGATGTTGAAGCTTCACCTGATAAAGACCCACCTGTTAATGTTTGAAGCTTCACCTGATAAAGACCACCTGTTGATGTTGAAACTTCACCTGATAAAGACACCGTTGATGTTGAAGCTTCACTGATAAAGACCCACCTGTTAATGTTGAAGCTGCTGATAAAGACCCACCTGTTAATGTTGAAACTTCACCTGATAAAGACACACCCGTTGATGTTGAAGCTTCACCTGATAAAGACCCACCCGTTGATGTTGAAGCTTCACCTGATAAAGACCCACCTGTTAATGTTGAAGCTTCACCTGATAAAGACACACCCGTTGATGTTGAAGCTTCACCTGATAAAGACC